CCAGATGAGAGGTAATATTGGCCTCAAACTGTCTTGATGAGTTTTTTGCCCAATGAAATCTAATACTTTGGATTAGGGATAAATTGGATGGGATTTTCAAAAACTTCTAGTTGACTTAGGAGCACAATTCCTGTAAACTTTGAAACTTCTCTGAGTTTCATGTCTTTCATAATATGAAGCACAAAGGTAAGGGAATAAACAAACATCACCAAGGGATTGCCCATATGCTAAACAACTTGGTTCTCTGGGCTGCCTGCATTTATTACTAAGGAATTGTATTTTCTTCTCTTTTATTGTGATAAAGTTTCAATCACTATTACAAATAAGAGCAGTGACATAAGCAGCCATGTCATGTTTCTCTCGAGGCCAATAAATTCAGAGTATTTGCCGTTAACATTGACTTCAGCTATAAGATTGTGTAAGATTTCAACCACGCTTGCTGAAATGGTGCTGATCGCAGTTTGTCCTTGCCTACAACTGTTCACCTTTATCCATTGCTGATACCTGCTCTCAGCATTGGTTCAAACCTCAAAAGGGTTTCTTAGGAAGCTGCTTCAGAGTTTCTGAAATGGTGCTGAATGCAGCTTGCCCTGTCTGCACTTTCCACTAAACTGCTGAGTACTAGTTCAGCTGCTGACTGTCACAGTAACCAGGCAATCTGTGGTTTGGACCCTTGTTAGTCCCTCTCGAGTGCACCTCTCAGAGGCCTGGCTTCCTGCACCTCTCTCTGGGTGGAACCATGCAGTCCAAACATTTTTAGACAGGATCTCTGGAGTGTAGCCCCCCTCGTTACCAGCTGTGTTAACTGGGTTTGATGACAGTGAGCTCTTTTACTCTGTGAGCCTGTGATGTTGGCTGATTAAAGTGACGAAAACAAAGTATTATTTATTCATTCACCCAAAAGCCTTATGCACTCAGAGTCGTGAACAGAGGCAGCTAACAGGAGAATTTTGGAGGGAATTCAGAGAGGGAGTGTGAGAGGCTTTTCTTCCAGGTCCAGCTCTGTGTTTGATTCCAGATGGACAGCAATGGAATCGTGGTTGTGACTTGCAATGGCTGTGTCCCTTCCCCCTCCCCACCCCCCACCCCGCCTGAAGCTGGAAGGGACTTCTTATGTATGAAGTACAAGTTGGTAGCTGTGCTGGAAGAAAAAATTATTGGATTGGAAAGGGAAGGAGAGATGCTATTGAGAATCAGAGAAGCTGAGGCATACCTAGATAGCCAGGTTCAGGAAACATCCGTACCTTAGGTTCATGGAAGAATGAAACTGGCCACCAAGGAATTGGAGAGAGAGGAACAGACAAGAAGCTTTCTTAATGGCTGGAGACAGACTACGATAGGCAGGCTGTGGTCAGCAGAGAGAAGAATACCAGGAGGAATTCCAAATAATTATGTATTATTTATAATTAAATATAATTATTTTAATTATATATTCCAATATTTATGTATATATTATTTGGAATAATTTTTATTTATCATTAAAATATATTATAACAAATAGAAGAAGGGGGATAATGATTAACTGTACAAAATTGATAAGAGAAGAATTATTTTGGTGGCATTATGTGGTCTGTGTTATACGGGAGGTCAGACTAGAAGATGATCACAATGGTCCTTTTGGCCTTGGAAACTATAAATCTATGAATAAGAGCAAGCATATAATATAACAGGGCTAGATGTATATTTCCCCTTACCTATACCTTAATCTTTTCTTGCAAACTCCTCTCAGCCCAGTTAACTCCATGTCTGTCTGAGAGAGACAGATTGTCCTGCTGCAGTGTGCTCCCTGTGACAATTTCTCCCTGTACATCTGTCAGAGACTACACCTGGACGACTACTGACACCCCACTCAACCCCCCACTTCTTGCCTAGGCTAGCATCGTTAAGGTTTTAGTATACGTTTTGTTCCTAGGTTCAACCTGGGAAGAGCTAGTGGGCATCAGGCCAGAGGTAATATGTAACTATGAGAGTGCTCCTCTTGTTCTAGTAGCATCAGTAGAACACACTGACTGAAAGGAGTAGATTGACGGGTGGTAGCAGAATCTGGAGCATGGGAGGCTAATTACTTAGTAGACATCTTGGAAAGTATAACTTGACAGCTAATTAGTAAGCCTCTAATTGTTAGTTTTCCACAAACAAAGGAGACCTGGCTCCCTGACCCTCCATTGTATTACATCATTGAGACTGTGACCTTTGAGACATCTTATACATAGAGTGTTTCATGGAACATTGATTACTTTAACCTGACACAAGGAGCCAAAATAATTGCTGGTGTAATGTTAAAATCAGATTTACATCTGAGATGAGTTTTTCCCAGAAAGTTAGAACCCCTGCCAAGCTAAAAATGAAAGTCATTTGCTAGGTCTTCTAAACATAAACATTTTTGTTTTCCTATTATATGACTGCTTCTTTAATCTGTGTCCGTGGAAATTTTATAAAAATCATAATAATGCAATGAGACAACAGTACAAACAGATGTATTCACTTGTTCCAGTATAAAGCAGAAGTGTGCCTTCAGCAAATTTTCTTAGCTCAATTGTTTCAAAAGGTGAGCTAAAGACCCAATCGTCTACCAATCCTACAAAAATAATGACAGCAGAGACTCAACAGAAGGTGAAAGAATGCCTCTGTGTGTTTTGATTGGCTATTGTGGTGCTTCTCCCCATGCAGCACATATAAAACAGGGTCACAAAGGCCAGGTGTCATTTGATCTTCAGAACAGTCCCCATAGGATCACACTGTCATTTAAACCTGCTAACAGGCTCATTAGGCTACTGTTTTTCTATATCACTGAGTTGCTTTTTGATACTAGTGCTGTGTTAGAGGCTGATCAGCTTCAGGCCTTGATTTGTACGTCTCAGGCACTGTTACTGTTTAGGGTTTGGTACACTTGTATTTTTTGTTTTTAGTAGGGCTGTCGATTTAGTGGCAGTTTTAATTGCACTGTTAAACAATAGAATACTAATTAAAATTGATTACATATTTTGGACATTTTTCTACATTTTCATATATATTGTATTCTCTGTTGTAATTGAAATCACGGTGTGTATTGTTTTTATTACAAATATGTGCACTGTAAAAATGATAAACAAAAGAAATAGTATTTTTCAGTTAATCTCCTACAAGTACTGTAGTGCAATGTCTTTGTCGTGAAAGCGCAATTTACAAATGTAGATTTTTTTTGTTACATAACTGCACTCAAAAACAAAACAATGTAAAACTTCAGAGCTGACAGGTCCACTCTGTCCTATTTCTTGTTCAGCCAATTGCTTAGACAAACAAGTTTTGTTTACACTTATAGGAGGGTGATAATGCTACCCTCCTCTTATTTACAGTGTCACCAGAAAGTGAGAACAGGTATTTGCATGGCACTTTTGTAGCCGGCATTGCAAGGTATTTACGTGCCAGATATGCTAAACGTTCCTTGCCCCTTCATGCTTTGGCCACCATTCCAGAGGACATGCTTCCATGCTGATGATGCTCGTTAAAAAAATAATGTGTTAATTAAATATGTGACTGAACTCCTTGGGGGAGAATTGTATGTCCCCTGCTCTGTTTTACCCACATTCTGCCATATATCTTTAGCGCATCCGGCATGTAAATATCTAGTGACACCATCTACAACAGTCCCATGAGAATGCCTGTTCTCATTTTCAGGTGACACTGTAAACAAGAAGCGGGCAGCATTATCTCCTGCAAATGTAAACAAACTTGTTTGTCTGAGTGATTGGCTGAACAAGAAGTAAGAGTGGACTTGCATGCTCTAAAGTTTTATTTTTCAGTGCAGTTATTTTCTGTACATAATTCTACATTTTTAAGTTCAACTTTCATGATAAAGAGATTGCACTACAGTACTTGTAGTAAGTGAATTGAAAAATATTATTTCTTTTGTTTTTTTACAGTGCAAATACTTGTAATAAAAAATAAAGTGAGCACTGTACACTTTGTATCTGTGTTGTAATTGAAATCAATATATTTGAAATTTTTTAAATTGCTTGACACCCCTACTTTTTAGGTGTGGGAATGTGTATGTGTAGGGGAGAGTCCTTTTTCTTTTCTTTTTATTCACAGGATTACTGTATTTTAAAACTGTATACCATATTAAAACATAGCAATTTCTATACCACACCAACTATAAAAATATATTAATATTGAGAACATTTATTTTATAAAAACAAATACAAATTAGGTTGAATTCTCATGTAATGAAACATGGGTTTGTGGGACACTTGTCATTTCTTTTTCTTTTTTTAAAAATACATATTTAGCATGTAGCACCTGATTTTTAATATGATGCATTCCAAATTGGCAGTGAGAATGTGCAAATAGTTATTTTAATAGGTATATCCAAGTGTTCATTATTTTTGAACAGGTTATACCATTAATCATTTAATGATTTAGCAAAGAAAATTACTTTACAAGAGAAGAGTGAGGGGGGATTTGATAGAAGCCTTCAACTACCTGAAGGGGGGTTCCAAAGAGGCTGGAGCTAGGCTGTTCTCAGTGGTGGCAGATGACAGAACAAGAAGCAATGTTTTCAAGTTGCAGTGGGGGAGGTCTAGGTTGGATATTGGGAAACACTATTTCACTAGGAGGGTGGTGAAGCACTGGAATGGGTTACATAGGGAGGTGGTGGAATCTCCATCCTTAGAGGTTTTTAAGGCCTGACTTGACAAAGTCTTGGCTGGGATGATTTAATTGGTGTTGGTCCTGCTTTGAGCAGGGGATTGGACTAGATGACCTCCTGAGGTCTCTTCCAACCCTAATATTCTATGATTCTATGAATTCCCTCATCCTAATTTTGGGCCAGATTCTACTGCCCTCACTCATACTGAGTAGTACTCTACTCCCTGAAGCAGACCAATTGATTGCAGTAATGCTACTTGTAGAATAAGGTACAACTCAGTGAGAATAAGAATGGCAGAATCTGTGTTCTCATTATTTTTGTCATTTCTACCATTACCATCGGAAGAAACCTTACCTTCTTTATTTATTTTCAGTTTCTGCCACAGAGGTCACATTCCACCAACCCAGACTGTATGACTCCCCATGGAACTATTCTGCATCAGACCCTGGACTTTGATGAGTTCATACCTCCAATACCACCACCACCCTATTACCCACCTGAATATACCTGCGCACCTGTGATGGAAGCACAGAGGTAATTCTTTGTTCCTGAAAATTAACGTTATTCCTTCATAGCTTTGGGCCACAGATTGAGACTACTTCAGGGGGAAATGAATTATATCCACTGGTTCGCTGCTCCAGGCCAATTGGAAAAATTAAAAAATTAATTGCACTGTTAAACAATAGAATACCAATTTAAATTTATTAAATACTGTGGCTGTTTTTCTACATTTTCAAATATATTAATTTCTATTACAACACAGAATACAAAGTGTACAGTGTTCACTTTATATTATTATTTTTATTACAAATATTTCCACTGTAAAAATGATAAACAAAAGAAATAGTATTTTTCAGTTCACCTCCTACAAGTACTGTAGTGCAATCTCTTTATTGTGAAAGTGTAACTTACAAATGTAGATTTTTTTGTTACAATAACTGCACTCAAAGCAAAACTATGTAAAATTTTAGAGCCTACAAGTCCACTCAGTCCCACTTCTTGTTCAGCCAATCGCTAAATCAGACAAGTTTGTATACATTTACGGGAGATGCTGTTGCCTACTTCTTATTTAAAATGTCACCTGAAAGTGAGAGCAAGCATTTGCATGGACTGCTTTGTGATGGGTTCGGTCACAAATTCAGAGGCATGCATCTGCTAACTACATCATGGTAGAAGATGACATTAGTTCTCCAGGTAAATCCAGGTAAATCCAGTGCAGTGAAATGATAATTAAACATTTATTTTCTTTAACAGAGGTCTCCATTTGGACTTTCCTCATTCCCCCTTCAGTGCTTTATATGAGGTCACCATTAACAGCCCAGGAATGCTATATCCAACGGAGCTGCCCCCTCCTTATGAAGCTGTTATTGGACAGACCCCTGCTAGTCAGGTAAGAAAAGGTCAAAGGAAATAGGGATGAATTCTCCTTGGCCATTCTCTTACTTACTAAAGAATTTAGGAGTTAAGAGTACCTGAAGGACACAGTGATGTTTGCATTGTGAGGACTTTTGCATTCTCTAAACAGATCATTTCCGGTCCATTGTCTTTAACTTAAATGGGTGTTTTCCTTTCCCAGTAGTAGCTTGTGACCTTCACCTATAAGTCTGCATCCTCCTAAATTCTGGGTGCATGCTTGGACAAATGTTTATATAAAACATAGCATTTCAGTTGAGGTCATTCATTATAAAAAAATCACAAAAATAGTCACAGAACATTGGACCATCACTGAAGAAAACCTAGGAGAAGAGATTTGAGCCATTGAAGCAAGAAATCTTTTTTTTTAGGTGTGGATGGAGAATGACGTTCTGAAGTGAGATTGGGCTCTTGGGCCCTTTTGGGAAGAAGAATCCTCAAGTAGGAAGCAGTTTTCCTTTATTCAAAGTAGTCTAGTGCCTACAACAGGGGGATTACCTTACTTTTCTTTAATTTACTGTGCATAGGTAGGAGATTTGATAACCAAGAAGGTAATTTTGTATGGTACAAAATGTGATGATACCATCTGTGCGTGTATTAGAAATGCAGCTCATGGGACATATAATTTTAACATGTCCTGTGGTCTGAGCTTAAATTAATACAAATTTCTATATAAAATTCCATTAACAGTTAGGAGAAATTCCTGCAAAAGACTATATATTAACCTAGATGAATTAAAAAAAGTGCTTTGCAGTTGGCATTGGATCTCAAATTATCTTCTGGAAAAGAGCTGGCATAGATTTTCTTATAATGACGTGCCCAAATCTTGACAGAAAGGCTTATGCCCTGTGTCAGAATTTACTCTCTACCAGTTCTAACATATAGCCTTCCAGGAACAGAAACCAAGCTGGCCCCAGAATACTGGGAACTGACCTGCATCTAGTGATTACATTAAGTGATAAGGAACCATACACAGCTATATATTGAACTATAAGAAATAGGGACGTGTTTCTGTAACAAAGCAATGAGCAGAATCTACATTTGTTTGTAATTTTGCTGTTGCTTATACTTTTTGATGCTATTACTTGCAGTATTGTATCAATAACAGTATTCTGCAAGCCCCTTAACTCCATTATGAGCTTTAACAAAAGGTCCAGTATATCTCATTTATATTTTTCAGTTGTTTTTTTCTACATTTTTTCTACCATATGACTCAAAATCCATTCAGACAATCAGTTACAGAATTATGGTGCACATGGGGGACACAGTTAATGCCAAATTAAGCAGTGATATGTGAAGGGTGCTTGGTGATCATGCTGATAAACTGCCACCCTATATAACAGTCTCAATTTCTTTTTTTTACTTGCTTCTGGGATCTTTGATTTTCTTCAAATTTCAGTAGAAACTCAAGGAAGTCTGAGAAATTTAACATACTAGCTACTGCTTGTCAAGGTTGAGGTAAACATTTGCAGAGCTAGGTGCATATAGCTGGTTAACATAGCACCTATCTATACTATGTGTTACTAGAGTCCTTCACATTCACTCAGAATATACAAGAAATAGCTTGTGGTAGCTCTGCCCCAGGAAAAGCAACATATTAAGAAACATTAGATTAAAATATAAATACATGACCCACCACCACAGTGGGAAAATTGCTGACAATTTACACAGTGTCCAAAGAAAGCAGCAATGGTGAATGCTCAAGAGATGTGCAGTTAGGCTTAATGAGACACATCAGACATTCCACCCTTCTTAACTCACAAAGTAGATTCTGCTAAGTCTTTATTTTTCTCACTTTTAGTCTACTTATACCTGGCAGAAGGTAGCAACAGGCCAAACATTGTTTGCCTCTGACCTGTGTAAACTCGAAACTTGTCTCTCTCGCCAACAGAAGTTGGTCCAATCAAAGGTACTTGCCCCCTTGTCTCTTGGATTTATTCTTCAGTAATAGAAATGAGTCAATGAAAATTGCTACTGAACAGCAAAATTTTAGAGTCCCAATTATTTCCCCCTCATTTCTAAAATGTTATTTACTGAAATTCTGCCGTGTTTTCTTTACAACATTGATTGTAAAGGAATCTGAAAGCCTTAGCGTGTTTGTAATGTTTTTATATTTGTGTCTTATCTCTAAATTTAAAAAAAGGCAAAAGCAATTAAAATCCTATCTGGTTAAAAAAAACATATTTCAGGTGAGAATTTGTATGTGGTATGCTAGAAGGTTATATAAATGGCTATTTATTTATTTATATTTAAATACAAAAATATACCTGTCCACCATTCTGGGTGCTCTGTCTATTAGTCAGGATCAAAATTTACACAGGAACAGTCACCCCGCCAGCACATGGCACTCATGGACAACAAAAATAATTAACTTAACGAGCCAGTAATCTAAAGCAGCAAAATCATACTCCACCCTATTATGTCAGGCCTCCCCAAAAGCCCTCCTAAGCAGATGCATTGCCCATAAATCTCTGACAGATGGGTCAGTGTCAGTGCATCATCCCTTCCTCTCTGGGCACCTGGGTCCCAGTGTTGGTTCTGGTCTCAAGTGAAAATGAGTGGTGGATTTTTAATTATTATGTGATCATGATTATAAAGCTCTTATTGGGTGTTAATCCACAACACCCCACTGTATGTCTGGCAGTTTCTAGCCAGGAAAGCTCTAAGAGTAGAATGGCAAGAGGTGTGGAAGGTGAGGAATGAAGTAGAGGTTGCAGAACAACTTATGTTCTTGACACTTTCATTAACACCAAAGGCCCAAACCTACATTCATTGTGGACCAGAAGTCCCAAGAAATTTAAAAACTGAAGAACACAACCTTAAAGTCAGTGACAAATTTAGATCTGCAAGGAATATAGAATGGAGTCTCAAATTCTTACATACATGCTACACCAGGATTGACAACCTATGGCACGCCTGCCAAAGACGGCACGCAAGCTGATTTTTAATGGCACGCTGCTGCCTGTCGGGGTCCCGCTCAGCCCACTGCCGAACTCCGGCAGCAGGCTGAGCTGGACCCCGGCAGGCAGCAGCGTGCCATTAAAAATCCTGCCCAACCCAGCCTGCTCTTCTCCGCCCCTGCCTACCGCTCTCTCTGGCAGGGACAGGGGGCAGAAGCAAGCTTGCTCCTGCCGGCTGCTGCTGTACAGCAGGCTCCGCCGGCAGCCAAGCTTCCCCCTCCCCCGCCTCTTCCCCCCAGCGTGCTGTGTGGAGCCCCGCCTCCTCTCCCTCCCTGCCGCCAATGGCCCTTGCAAGGGAGGGGAGAAGAGCAACCCCAGCGCCCTCGCTGCTCAGACCCAGTAAGGAGGCGGGGATGGGGGATAGGAGCGGGGCCTTGGGGAAGGGGGGGTAGGAGTGGGGTGTATCCCTCCAGCCCCCTGCCGTGAGCCGCTCAGGGCAGGGGGCTGAGAGCACCCCCCTGATACCAGCCCACCCCCCAGCCTCTGCCCTGACCCCTGCAATCCCCGTGCACCCCAGCCCTCTGCATCCCCCCCCATGACCCCATCCCTGATTCCTGCACCCTCCACACATACCCAGCCCCCTCACACCCCATGCCCTGACTCCTGCACCCCCTCACATGCCCGCAGCCATCTGCCCTGACCCCTGCACCCTCCTTGCACCCCAGCTCCCTGCATCCCCCCCATGACCCCATCCCTGATTCCTGCACCCTCCACACATACCCAGCCCTCCCACATCCCATGCCCTGACTCCTGCAACCCCTCACATGCCCCC